ATGCAGAGCGCGCCCAAGCTTTGGGACAAGAAACCATGAGCGAACAACTCACTAAGCAGCAAGAGACTAATGTTGCGCAGCAACAAGCTTAGGTGCGCTTGCTGAGTTCGCGTGCTTGGTTGATTGCGCCCAAGAGACTCTCAGCACGCGCTTTGCCTTTGCCAGCTAACTCAAAAGCAGTGCCGTGGTCGGGGCTGGTGCGCACAAAGGGCAGCCCCAATGTGATGTTGATGCCATCATCCACACCCAGGTATTTGACAGGAATGAGGCCTTGGTCATGGTAAAGCGCTACAACCACATCGGCAAAGGGGCTGCGCAGCTTTGGCTGGGTGTTGCGGGCGGACATAAATACCGTATCGGGAGGATGCGGCCCGCTGACTTGCAAACCTCTTTGGCTGGCTAGCTCTAAGGCAGGGGTGATAATATTTATCTCCTCATCGCCCAGCAAGCCAGATTCGCCTGCGTGGGGGTTAAGCCCCGCCACGGCTATGCGAGGCGCAAAACCGTAGTGGCGCAGCCAGCTAGTATGGGTAATTTGTAGGGTTTGTAATAAGTGAGCACCATTGAGTTGGGCAACAGCCGCACGCAGCGGCACGTGTATGCTATCAAGTACTACGCTGAGCTGCTGGTTGGCCAACATCATGCGCACGGGCAGCTCCTCTATGCTTATGCCCAAGTACGCAGCGCTGAGCGCTTGCAACATTTCGGTGTGGCCAGGATAAGGGTATCCCGCCAAATGCAAGCTGGCTTTATTCAAGGGAGCTGTGACCAAGGCGCGCGCCCGACCTTGCAAGACTTCCATAGCCGCAGTTTGCACCGCTTGCGCAGCCAGCTGACCCGCTTGCGCACTCGTTTGTCCCCAAGCCACCAAAGGCGCAGTGGGCAGCGATAGCGCTTCTATTTGTGGGGTTTGCAGCAAAGGCAAACCCATTGTCGGCTTATGGGCGCTCCAAGCAGACAAATCGGGCAAGACGCTGATGGGCAAAGGCGCCAAACCGCTGGCTGCGCTGGCAATTTGCATGGCACGCACAATATGCGCCTGGTCGCCCACAACTACGCAGTCAGCCATCTGCTCAGGGTTTTGCAAGTACAAAA